TGCAGAGACTCCCTGCAACCTTAGCCTTGCTGCAGAGACTCCCTGCAGCCTGTGCAGGGGGCTCCAAGGTTGCAGCTTTTACCACCCGTGCCGGGGTGGACTTTGGTGATACAGTTGTCTTCGAGCCATCCCCGCTCCTGTAAGCAACGCCCCCATACTCCTGTTAGTAACCCCAACAGACTCACTGGCTCACCAAGCTGGACTCTAGTGTAATCGTTACTTTGGTCTGGAATAGGTTTCCTTTCTAGGGTGAGTAGGTATGTTGCATCTCCCCAGTAAAAGTCTCACACAACAAACATCTATTGTTATTTTAATTTGGTAAACGTGGGGGTAAATTTTAGGATGCCAAAAGACACCTCACAGCCTCTAATACCTCGAATGTGACCTTATGAAAATAAGGCCGTTACAGATGTCAGTCATTAAGATGAGGTCATGCTTGAGTAAGATGGAACCCGGATCAGACGTACACAGACACACGCAGTGAGGACATGCTGGCACAAGCTGCAGGCAGACGATGCGGCAGAAGCCCAGGCAGCCTCCAACAGTCACTAGAGGGCAGGCCTGCAGCACCCTGGGTCCTGTGAGATGAGATCCATTCTTCTGGTCAGGGTGGTAGTTTCTTCCAGCAGCTGTAGGAAGCTCGCAGACCCTACATGTCGCTGTTCCCTTTGGCTGCTTTTAAAGATGTTTTTCCATTTAGTTTTAATTTGTATGTCCTAATTTTTTAAACAACTTTAAAAACTACTGTTATGCTGTGTGTGCATGTGTGCACTGCAGTTCACGTACGGTCAGAGGACAAACTTATGGAGCTGGGTCTCTCTGTCAACCTCTACAAGTGACCTGGGTTGCTGGCTTGCAGAACAGGCACCGTTACCTGCTGAGTTTTCTCACCAGACCTTGGAGTTTTACTTTGATGTGTCTTGTTATTTTCTGTGTTTGGGGTTCACTATTCCTCCACTTGAGGACTTACTTTTTTTCCCATCAGACTTGAAAAATACATTCCCCCAGCATACAGCATTCTCGTCTATACACTAACTCGCACTAATAAAGGCCAACAATTCAGTCATCACAGAATCGTGATTAGCTGCATAACCCAAGGGTAAGCAGAAGGCACAACTAGACAGCTAGGGCACAGATTTCCAGAGAGCAAAAACACCTACACAAAACAGCCCACAAACTCCTCCATACGGATCTGTGAGAGCTCCAAGGGCAAGAAAAGTAAGGACAAGGCTACATTCTGACAAGGCTGACAAAAATGCGCAAGAATTCTATCAGTGAGTTTTTAAAACATTTTAACTTTTCATTATTTTGTGTGTGCGTGCATGACATATCACACTTGTGGAGCCCAGGGTAACTTGGCAAGAAAAGCAGTTCTCTCCTATCATGTGGGTCGCAAAGACTGAACTCAGGCTGTCAGGCCTGCCAGCCAGCAGCTCTGCTTGCTAGTCCTCGTCAGGCCTCTACCAGTAATTTTAAAAACAGATGATAAAATTCCATTTGCAGCAGCAACCAAATCTTTTAAGTAATTATTAAAAATTTCAGGAAATGATTACTACTGATACGCATATATTCATGTTCCAGTATGTATATATTATATACATGGAATACATGAGCATTCACAAGTATGTCTTTACCTTACTGCAGGATATAAAATACAGACTGAATAAATAGACTGCTTTTGTTCACACTGGGATTTCTGATGGGCCTCAGAGGGCAGCTTTCCCCACCCGAGAGCCCAACATCACAACCAGAAGCAGCAGACAGGTCAGAGAGAGACTCTCATTACCAAGAGTTGGATGATACAACTTAGTCTGTCCACGGAAGGGGCTGATTAGCCAAATGACAGCACATGCTGCTTTGCCAGCTTGGTCACAGCCAAGGCCCAGGACAAGAAACCCAGGGGCTCTCCTTTGTTTTGTCAATGAAATAAACTCACTTCAGTGTCTTAGGAAATAACAACCCATCAGAGAGCAGGGCTGGCTGGGTTTGTGGAAAATTCCACGGATGGCTGGCCAGCAGGACTTGGCATTAACCCCGTGTGAACAGATTCCGGCCAGATGCACGTATCCACACTATGTGATTCTATTTGACATTAACCCCGTGTGAACAGATTCCGGCCAGATGCACACATCCACACTATGTGATTCTATTTGGCACCACAGAGACCTTTGCTCAGAAGCTGATAGGTAAACTCTAAATAACACCCTTATGGATGTGGTCATTAGAAAATCGAGACTTTTTTGTTTTTAAACACTGACATAATAATCAAACCCCTAAGGGGGCAGAGGTATTTAAAAATACTAGAAGCAGAGACAGTGTTTTGAGTCAAACACTCCCCAAATCCTTTTCACTATTGAAGCTTATTACGTCTTTGTTGTTCTCGCTATGGCCCCTGCGTCCATGGCGCCTGGCCCACTGTCTACTCGGTTCACCTGAAGGCTCCTGGAGGCACTTACATGCCACCTCTCGGCTTCAGCCTCCTCACTCCTGTAGATAAAGGGACTGGGGTCTGTCACTAGACAACAACGGGGACAGAGGACAAGCAGGCTGTACCATCTGAGCTGTGAATACGGTAAATTCATAAACAGAAACCATTCAGTTATCACAGGGACAACAAGACTGGATGCTCACGTCTGGCAACACAAGCTATGTAAACTGACTGTGGACGGTAATCAGGTAGGGACTCGTATTTGTCTCAGGATTTGGAAGGGAGGCAGGCACACCTGGTGTAGTGTTTGAAATGCTGAATGTTTTCATTGTAACACTGAAAGTCTGACGTTCATAAAATAAACTGTATGTTGCCTACGTGAGTTCTCCGGTGTGAGGGGCTGATGTCAATAGAAAATCTCCTGATAACCCATATGCTGACAAGGTCTCACTCCTTGATGCATAATCCAGGATTTGAGCATTATGTAAATTATCTGTTGCCTTGTTGGAATTCACTTCTTGTGAGTTTTCTGATGTAAAAGGAAGTTTGATTTATGGCGAAATGTTTTCTTGCACGTGTTACATTCATAGGGCTTCTCCCCTGTGTGTATTTTCTGATGCTCAGTCAGAGTCCAGAGTCGACGGTAGCTTTTCCCACATTCATTACATGAATATGGTTTCTCTCCGGTGTGAATCCTCTTATGCACCGTGAATGCTGACTTATGGCGGAAAGACTTCCCACACTCTTTGCACTTATGTGGTTTTTCCCCGGTGTGAGTTCGCTGATGCTCAGTAAAGGAGACTTTCTGGCAGAAGGTTTTCCCACACTCTTTACACTCATAGGGCCTCTCTCCTGTGTGTGTCTTCTGATGGTGCCGGAGAGCCGACTTCCGGCAGTAGGTCCTCCCACACTCGGGACATTCGTACGGTCTCTCCCATATGGTTCTCTTATGTGCAAAGCGGCGGGAGCTTTTGTGGACTGTGCGCTTGTGCTCGTGACACTCGTGGTGATTCTCCTTTGTGTCCGCCCTCTTCTGCTCACTGCAGTTTGACTTCGCGGCGGGCGGGCGGCCCCACTTACTAAGTGCACCGTGCTTCTCTCCGGTGTGAGTTCTCTGGTGTATCGTGAGTGTTGTTTTAAGGTAGAAAAGCTTCCCGCACTCATTACACTCGAAAGTCTTCTTTCCTCTGTGGATCACCTGATGCGCGACAAGGGCAGACTTTGTGCACAAAAACTTGCCACACTGGCGGCATTTATAGGGCTTCTCCCCGGTGTGGCTTCTCAGATGCACATTGAGGGCCGACTGGCAGAAGAAGGTCTTCTCACACTCCGTGCACTCGTACGGTTTCTCCCCTGTGTGGATTCTCTGGTGCGCCGTCAGGGCTGACAGACAGAAGAAGGTTTTCCCACATTCCTTACACTCGTTGGGCCGCTCTCCTCGGTGGGTTCTTTGGTGCACAATGAGGTAAGACTTCTTTCCGAAGGCGTTCCCACACTCCTTGCATTTGTAAGGCTTCTCCCCAGTGTGGGATCGGAAATGCTCAGCCAGGGCTGACTTCCGAAAGAAAGTCTTCCCGCACTCGTTACACTCATAGGACTTCTCCCCGCCATGGATCCTCTGGTGCACGATGAGGGCAGACTTGTCGATGAAGGCTTTCCCACACTCTTTGCATTTATAGGGTCTCTCCCCAGTGTGAATCCGCTGGTGTCGAGTGAGGCTTGCCTTTATACGGAACGTTTTCCTACAATAATTGCAAGCGTATGGCCGCTCTCCCGTGTGGATCCTCTGGTGCACGATGAGGGTGGACCTCTTCGAGAACGTTTTCCTGCACTCTGCACACTCGTTCCGCTTCCTCTCCGCACACTCCTCCGTTCCTGCAGAGGGGGCTGACTGCCGGAGCACGGGCTTCCCGCCCTGGTCGTGTTCGGAGGGTTGACTTACAGACTGGACATTCTGGTCTTTGGTAAGATCTTCACCTTGACCCCTAACATCCCTAACTCCATCACGTTTGTTGCGTTCTGTCCCAGAATGGCCTTTGTCAGCCTTCATGTGGAGCGGAGGCTTCTCGTGGTCATCGGGCTCAGCAAGTACCTTTGCATTTGCTTTGCTTTGCTTGGCGACAGTTTTTTCTGAATTAGCTTTCAGGTCATTTCCACCTGGATCATATTTATGAAGCATTTTTTCTGAAGAAACAGTGTTCATGTCTAGAGCAACTGTTTTCTCAAACAAAGCAGCTTTTTCTGGCACTGTTTTGTTAGTGTGGGCTAAAACTGGCTTCAAAGGCTTGTCTTGTATTCCCTTGTCCTTCTCTAAGGCATCCTCGTCTTCTGGAAGGAAGGAATGGAATTAACATTAATACATGAGTTCTATGTACCTTTGAAATGACAATTTCAAAGGCCTGTACAAAGGCTTTATGGGGGCCAAGTCTTCAGGGCCGGCTTTCCAGTGTTAAAGAGATTCAAGTGTATCTCTTACTTTATACATTTATAGAGAAAAAAATGAACAATAACACAAGGGATGGGGGGAAGCAAATTCACCTCTACCAGCTTACTTAACTATGTCAAAGAAAGAAGAAACTAGCAAAGACTATAAGAGCTTTGGACTGGCAGAAACATTCCAACATGGGACAGTCCCCAACATCTCCTGGAAGTGTGGCTGACGGGTGACACGGATGAGGACATGGTGGGAACCGAAGAGCAAAGTCGCCAGGCAGAGACCAAGCAAAGCCGACCTCAGAGAGCCAGTGTTCACCAGGAAGAAGGGGCAAACTTGAGAACTCTGGAGTTTGTACAGATGCAACAGAGAATGGAAAACAAGAGTTGGAGATGATGCCGGGCGGTGGTGGAGCATGCCTTTAATCCCAGCACTCAGGAGGCAGAGGCAGGTGGATCTCTGCATTCGAGGTCAGCCTGGTCTACAAGAGCTAGTTCCAGGACAGGTAGGCCAGTTACACAGAGAAACCCAGTCTCAAAAAACCAGAAAAAAAAAAGAAAGAAAGAAAGAAAGAGAGGAGCTGAGTGGGGATGGACTGCAAGAACGCAGCAAGTGCTTTGGCAGGCACGGTGGGGGAAGAATGACGGAATCAGTGTGTGGTGAAGGGCTTGGGTTCTGTGGACAGAGTACTTAAGTCAAACATTTTTATAGAATACATTTCTTTGGGAAGAACGTTTTAATATATACAGTATGGGAGCTAGTTTCCTCAGTCACTTATAGAGCTCAACGCCCTAGAAGATTCCAGAAAAAAAAAGATCATATAGGTGCCAGCTGTGATCATTAACCAGTCAGGGTCTCGAATTCTTTGGTTTTTACCTGCTCGGTCTTCACACTTCCCTGCATAGTTCTGACTTGGCGATTCTTCCACTATCCAAGGCTCTTTGCCTTGCTCGAGTTTTAAGATCACATCTGGTTTGCTAACACGAAACCCTGTTAATGAGAAATAATAGGGAACTTGGAGCAAGCTCTGTGAACTTCAAGGACTAAAGGCTGGGGAAACTGAGCAACCAAGATGCCCCACAACAACTCAATGGGGCTGATACAAATGAGCGAGGGGCAGGTACACGCGTGTGCATGCGGGCATGCGTGCACACAACTGTCATCATCTTTCTCCCTTGTTACTCAAGGAGAGAGAACTCATTCTGATATTAGCATGTTCTAGTGGCACAGAAGAAGGGCCAGCTCTGGGGTGCATGCGGAGACTGCGCTCACCCGCCGAGATGAAGTTCCTGTAGTTCTCCAGCATCACGTCCCTGTACAGGAGGCGCTGCGTGGGCCTCAGGGACCGCCATTCCTCGTGGGTGAAGGCCACAGTCAAATCCTTGAAGGAAATTGATCTCTGAAAGGACACGTTTCATTTGAGATCATCAGAACTGAGCAACAGCAAATCTGTGGGAATATCAAACGTAAGGAGGGTGCTGCCACGGCCAACGTTAGGCTATAAGAGATGCTTCATGGGGGACGAAAGAGAAACTGCTGTTTATGAATGAGCGTTTTGAATGTGCGGAGCTTATACTGTGCCCTAGATTCCCAGGTTACTGACTCGTGCGCAGTATGGCTCTTGCTCCCACGGAGCGCCCAGTAATATAAGTGACACAGACGGAAACTGCTCCTCAGGCAGGAACACACATGCTAGACAAAGGGTCCTATTTTGTGCCATCGAACTTCTGTGAGAGGATCATTTTAATCCTCATGTGAGGTGTGTCTTGCTATAGTGTGCTCGCTGAGAAATACACTGAGGCAAAACATGCATGACAGCCGAAGAGCAGTAGGAAAGGAACGCTGTAGGGGAAGCGGGCAGAGCACACGGGTACCTACCCAGGTTTCTGCAACACATCAGTAACACACTTGTCCATGTATGAATGACCCATGTATTTACCTGGAAATCGTAACGTAACTCTACAAGCCATATGTTGGTGCCAATAAGCATGTTAACACCATTAACAACTTGCTGTTCCCGTGCTTCTGCCCGCAACATGAATATGAACAGAAGTGCAGGGGCTGCTGCGGGGCTCCTCGTCCTCCACCCTGGAGACCACTAGTATGAAACATGCAAATCCACAGAGGTAAACACTAGAGCAGCAGGACCCAATGTGCACACTGGAGGCAACCCTGCAGCACATGGGTGACAGCAAGCCACGGTCTATGGGCTAAATCCAGTCATTGTAGCTGAATCTGGTCAGCACCTGGGTCACACTTTGCCCGTGACTTTCTCATCCAACAACTGCTGCATTCAGAGCTGAAGGAGACTGTAGCCAAGAAAACTGTACACAGTTATTATCTGGCCTCCCAGAAGAAGCTTGCTGTTCCATGCTGGAAAACGTGGGAAACAACAGCTAAAAGGTCCAGTCAAAGGGGAAGAAAATTAGGATGCCCTTCCACAGGGAGCATCAGTGGGTGTGAGATCAAAGTACTCTGCTACTTGAGGACCAAGATGGAGTGACCACATGTGGAATGGAGACATTATGAGCCGGTTGGATGGCATGACCGGAGCTGGGCACACGCCAACATCATACGCCAAGAGACTTAACACATACCTCATTTTCTTTTGCTCCCCCTCCCCGTTTTTGAAACAGTTTCAGACTGGAGCCCAGGCTGGCCTCAATCCATAGCAACTCTCCTGAATTAGCTTCCTGAGTATTGGAATTAAAGGCGTGAGCCGCTACACCTGGCTTTGTACCTCATTTTCTTTCTAGCTTGTGTAACTGAAGGATTAACAACCTTGGCAGGAAACAGTGGGGGGAAGAAGCACACTGGACAGACGGACTGTCAACATTATTTCTTTTTGGACAGCAGGACTCCTAGTGCCGTTAGAGGACCCTTGCAGAGAAGTAAAGCAAGAATCCCACACTGAGGTTCTTCAAGGCAGGAAGATTTTAGAGCTCACAGGGTTGCACGGCAAAACTCTACATGAGAGCAGAAAGAGTCATGTGACGGCTAGGAGTGGTCAGAAGTGCACCTGAGGAAGGGACAGTCACACGGTCAAGTGCAACGGAGAATTCGGAGAAGCACGGGGTGGAAATGCCTACTGGGCTTGAAAATAACTAATTCTGATCACAACAGAGGTAGCAGACGTGGACTGGGCTGACATTAGACAGGTGAGTGAAACAGATGTACCACGGGATCTAAAACCAAACTGTGCCTGTGACGCCTGATTTAAAAGCAGAGCTGAAATACTCAGGAGACCTAAGGAGAGTTACCAGTTTGAGGCCCACCTGGGCTTTATAGTAACTCTTTCAAAAAAAAAAAACAGGAAAAAAAGCACAAAAGAAAAAATACTAAAAAGAAATAGCAAAAGGACATCGTTTGAGGTACAGGTAACAGGTAACCCATTTATTTGAGGTTTTTCACTCACTCCCTCAAGAGGAGCAATCAGAAGGCTGTCTATCCCGACAACAGATTAGACATCTGTAATTACTAGGCCTTGCCGAGGTGAAGATCCACAGCTGTTGTTGGTATAGCCAATGTGGCATCATCTGTTCAAAGACCCTATGAACATGTTTATAAACCAATGACAGAAAAACCATGGTAACAGCCTCCTTCACATCACTGGGGTCTTTCTTGTACAACCTGAATAAACCTACCGGGATGTATAATTTGTTTATTTCTTTATTTTTCAAGACATGTTTTCTCTGTATCCCTGGCTGTCCAGGAACTCTATGTAGCCCAGGCTGGCCTCAAACTTAGAGATCCACCTGCCTTCCAAGTGCTGGGATTAAAGTTATATACCGCCCTGCCCCTCAATAAGTTCACTCTTCTGGTATTGATCTGATTCCCTTATTTTCCTTGAGGCTGAATTTTATGTATTTCTACCATTTCACCTGAGTGCATATGTTGGAAACCAATGACAACCCACTGCCTAAGTTGGGACGTGAAGCCCTCAGTGAGTTACCTGGGAACTGTCCATTTTCAGGTGCTCTCCAGAAAGGGCCAGGAATGATGATCGAAGGGCTGGGTGAGGAAGAATGGGGTCAGTCTCAGACACACCGTGGAAGGAAAGGACCCTGTGGCCAGTATCACACACGAAGCAACTGCTTGAGGGAACGCCCACGAGCAGCTCTGAACGGCCAGTCAAGTTCTTCTCACTGTGTGGATGGAAACAAAGGGGTTAATTACTGAATTACTGTCTTACTTATGCCACCTTAAAAAACAAACAAAGCACACATAGGAGTTCATATTAGATGAACTGAGCTGAGATCAGAAAACCCAGACAGAAGGACTGAGGGTTTTAAGATGATTACTATTCGGCTCCCCTCCCCCAACCTTAACTGCGGTTTCATGAGAGGCCTCTGATTAAATGTGGTAGAGGACAAAGGCCTGACCTGGGAATCAACAGGCTGGAATTAAATTCTTGGCTCTGTCACCAGCAAACTACCTAAATGGTTAAAATAGCTGCCTTGCTCATTTGAAAAGAAGGTAATTTTAAATATCTGAAAAACCCTTTCTCTAGGCACACTATGTCATTCTATATGGAGTCGAAAATCCCAGGGTGGTGATGGACGTGGTTTGAGCAACTCAGGCGAAGCGGCATGCGTTTGTTCTAAGTGATGGAGAGACCTTTCCCTCATCCGTGGTAGGCATCCTTTCCCTCCAAACGACAAGCCCTCAATGAAGCATCATTCAGCCCAACCTGGACTTGCTCATTCCCTCAATCACAGCTCAACCGGTAAGCAACCCCGAAGGTTTCCTGGTTCAAGGGCATCCGCAGGACTTATTGCGATCCGATTTTTGCATGCACACACCTCTCCTTCCCGGGATGCCCGCCCTGAGGCCTGCAGCCCCTTGACGCCCCGCGGCCTCGCCCGGCTGCTGGACAGTAGCGAGCCTTCGCGGGCCCAGGGCGGGCTCCGGTCCCTCCGATCCTGCCCCGAGCTCGCTACTCGGTCTTCCTCTGGCTCCGGGGAAATCTTCTTTTATAGTTCCCAGAAGGCTCCCAGGAACCGCTGCTCTTAGCAGCGGGAGCCTTGCCTAGAAGCACTCGGAGAACCGGAAGCGCATCCATCAAGGCTCGGAGACGGCGCATGCGCAACACCTCGGTGCGGCGGTTCCCACGGTTCTCCAAAGGGTGCTACAGGCTGTCCGGGACTACATTTCCCACAAAGTGCTGCGGCCTCCGCAGACGATTTCCTCTGGCGCTTGATTTTAATCAATGGGCTGTGAGCCATGGGTACAAAAGGAGTGAGAAAGAAAGATTATAAACCTGGAAAGAAATCCCAACGATTATTAATCAATAATGACTAAAGGTTTCTCTCAGAATCAAAAAATAATAGCGAAGCTTCCCAAAATTACAGAAAACACCTAACAATTGAAAATGAATCAGACCGTCTCTAAATATCTTAAAAGAAAATAAGAGCCATACTGTTTACTCCCGACTGTCTGAGTTTATTGACAGGTGAATCTCTTCTGCCTATTTTACACAAGGGGAAGTTGCAATAATTAACGACAAAATACTTTAACAGTATACTTTTTCTGTTATTTTATTTTATACGTATGGATATATTGCCTGCATGTATGCCTCTCCATCACTTGTGTATCATGACTGGTGTCTGAGTATGTCAGCAGAGGGTATCATGTGGTTGCTGGGAACTCTGGTCCTCTGGAAGAGCAGCCAGTACTCTTAACCATTGAGCCATCTCTCCAGTCCCTCAACAACATAGTTTAACAACACCAATTATATATAATGCAAGAAATACAGAACTAACCTTTCATCCATGGGGACAAATTGTATATATGTATACGTATTAAAAGAGTGAAGCTACATAATATGTTTTATTCACGGGAAGGCCTGGAGGTTTCTGACACAGTTATCTGTTATCATTAATACCAAAAGGAACAGCAAGGTGCAGAGGCTGAGAGATGGCTCTCAGTGAGTCAGGCTTCCAAGGATTCGATGCTTATGTATTGATTCCCACATTGAACGTGGCTCTGTTGTGGTTTTAAACAAAGGGGGCATCAAAAGGGACACTGCAGGTATCAAAACAACAACAACAACAAAAAACAACCAACCTGTGACGTCCTGGCAGTCAGGTTTGTCTGCAATGTTCCTAAAGTCTGTGCAAGACTTTAGTTTGTTATGCCCAGTCCACGGTGTCCCCAAATACCACCAGGGAGACCGACTCACTGAAATGCAAAAGCAAGGTTTATTGGGTGCATGTTACAAGCCTGCCGGGACCTTGTCAGCGCAGCAGCAAAAGGAGGTAACCCCATCCTTCTAGAGAACACTATTTAAAGGCAAACCCCAGAAAAGTTACTTTGCAGGGTGTGGGGTGATAGGTTCAATCCTGATTGACTGACATTTGTCTAGGAGTGTCCTGGTGAAAAGCGATGGGTGTGTGCTGGCAGGTGATCCTATCTATAATAGTTGGAACATTAAGAATTTCCTTTGGATGGTCTGTTCCTGGGTGGTGCCTGGGTAATCTCAGTTTGTGGTCCTTCCCAGAACAAGGTATTGCCTTAGGGTAAACTACTGAGACTCAGGCCTTTGTTGAGCATGTCATGGCTGAGGCCTACAAGTCACCTAGTTACTAGAGATCAAGTGAAAATCAAAAGAAACAGAGAGGCAACGAAGAGAACAGACGAATCTTTCTCAGCAACCCAGCCATGCCTCACCTTCCAGGAATCCTTGTCCCAACTTCGGACTCAAGGAGTGAGACTTCTTTAGCACTATATGCAGTCAAGCTCCTGGGTGCCTCAGCTGCATAAAGAATCTCATGAAGCCGAGCCACACAGTCAATCAATACCAGTAAACGTATAGCACAGGTTTGAACAGTGATGGAGTGATGCAGTTTCCCATAGTGACCACTAGATGGCAGAAGACTCCCCAGCCAGCTTTCCTCGGAGGCTCCCCGTTCGCTAGAAAAGCCTCTGTGTGAAATCGCAGTAGCTGAGGGGGTTTCGTCAAGAAGGCCTGGTGAAGCAGGCGCTGAGGAAGGCTCTAACTCTTTCTGATACTTTAGACAATGTACCCAGCTGCCATTAATGTGGGTCATGTAATTTGTGGGGTCTCTCTCTCTCTTTTTTTTTTCCCTAGCCTCATGAAACAGGTACATTGTTCTGATAACACTTTTCCACTGGGGACTATCCTAACCTTTACTAAGAATTCCGCATATGCTCATAGGCTCTGCATTGCACTGCACCTGAGGACCCACCAATGTCTACTATATGAACAGAACCCACTAGACAGAGCTTTACCTAACCTGTAAAACTGTCAAGATCATCCACAAAATGATGGCCCTTTTTTTTTCCTAGTCAAGGTGTAGGTGTTTGATCTAAGTCAAACTTGCCATGAGTCTGAACTTGAACCCTGAGCAGAATGGGAGATTGATTCATTCTGGCATGGATGCCGTAAAGAGTGCCCATGATGCCTGCTACGTGGATCTCCATGGCTCTGCTGGTCCTGGACCTTCCCAACACCTACCTTTTGCTTTTCGAGTCACTCAGAAATGCATTCTGTTGCTGACAAACAAGGAGCCCCAGTGGTCAGTCTACACTTCAGACTAAGATGGAAGCTAGATCCAGAGAGAGGGTCCATGTTAGGATGGAGGCAAAGTCTCCATCCATTATAGGCTTTCTCATTCATCTCAGCAACATTCGGGAGACCGGTTCTGTGCCCGGAGCTGCTCTATTACAGCAATTTATTTATTATAATATTTTAATTCATTCTTTGGGAATTTCATGAATATATAGAATATGTTACAAACCAAATTAGTGCTGCCAGTAAGTGCATGGTGTGGGGGCCATCCACTGAAGTATGAGCAACCCCCAGGAGCCACACCCCTCAACATAATGGAGTCCCCACTCCAGTAGCCATTGGTTGCTAATAGTTCCTTAGTCAAGAGTGAGGCCTCGTGTGCCCCTCCCCAGTCCATTCCAGAATATTAAAAGGCTTATTTAGTATGAGCAACGACAGCTGCTGTGAGTTCAGAAGTGCAATGATTCATTTATCGTATGTGTATGTGTGTGTGTATGTGCACGCACACACACGTGCATATGTGTGCATGCCACAGGAGAAACGTGGAGGTCAGGGGACCATCTCAGGGGAGTTGGTTCAATTCTTCCACCATGTGGGAGCTGGGAATAAAGCTCATCCTGTCCCAAAGTGTCCCCCTGCTTCCCACAGAGTTGTCTAAACATCATAAGGTCCCTGAGGTGACTGATGTGTGTGCCCCAAATTCAGATGCTGATATCCTAGCTCCTCAAGTAATGGTGTCAGAAGGCAGGACTTTGGGGGTTCCTGTGGTTAAACCTCCTGGATGGGTTAGTGACCAGTGAAAGGACCCCTCGATTGTTCTTTCCCAGTTCCGCTGTCCTGCGGAACTCAGACTGGCAACCACACATCTGTTTATCTAGTCTGAACTTATTCTCCTTTTCATTTTTAATACACCTGAATGTACTTAATTCAGAGAAATTATATTAAATGTAATAATCTGATTTTATGCCTGAAAAGAAAATATCTAAACTTTCCCCCTTTCTTCCTTACCTCTTTCCCTTCTCTTTTCTTCTCCCTGTGTGTGCACAGTTGTGTGTGTGTGTGTGTGTGTGTGTGTGTGTGTGTGTGTGTGCATATGCATGTGCGTGCACATGCATAATCCTATGCACACCTCTGGGAACATGCAGGGCACAGCACAGCCTTTGGTACTGGTCTTCCCCTTTCCTGTGACTGAGGCTGGCTTTCCCCTTTTTCTGCTGCTGTGAGCTAGCTGTAATTCCAGCGCTTGGTGGGTGGAAGCAGGAGGATCAAGAAGTTCAAGGTTATCCTTGCCTATATAGTGAGATTGAGGGCAGCCTGGGCTACATGAAACCCTTTCCCAAAACAAAATAAACAACAAAAAGGGAAAGAAAGGATGCCATCCTAGTTCCTTTTCTATTGCTGTGACAAAAGGCCGTGACCAAGGCAATTTACAGAAGAAAAAGTTCATCTGGGACTTAAAGTCCATGACTATCATGATGGGGAGAATGGCAGCAGGTGGGCAGACATGGTGCTGGAGCAGTAGTGAGGGCTCACCTCTTGATCTGCAAGCATGAAGCAGAGAGAGCTAACGGGGAATGGTGTGGGTCTTTCCATACCTCAGAGCCCACTCCCAGCAACACACCTCCTTCAGCAAAGCCACGCCTCCCAATCCTTTGCAAACAGTTCCACCAACTGGGGACCAAGCATTTAAATATATGAGCCTATGGGGGCGATTCTCACTCAGACCACCGCAGAAGCAAAAGAATCTGTTGTAGCCGCAGTTACAGTGATGTGTTTCGTCCCCTCTGTGTTTGTGATGCTGATGCTGTGGAAATGAATGTGAACTTTGTATTCCACAACAGTTAAACAGGCTTTGGGGCTAGTGCCCCTTACACTCCACTCTCTCTCTCCACGGAGCAAATGTCTTTGTATAGTCTTCAGAACACTTGATTCTCTTTTACTGCATGGGGTGCTGCTTGACTCCCCGATCCCAAAAGTCAATCGAGAACTTAAAATTTGTCATTTTAATCTTGTGGTTATTATTTTACTGTGGGGAACTCAAGGCCACTCATGGCTAACCAGAGACCAGGTTCATAGCCAAGGGCCACTGGATGCTAAACAAATGTGTCCCTTCTCTGACATTCAAAACCGAGCAGAGCATCTTGTACTTCCATTTACTAAACTTGACAAGTCTAGATGGAACAGCCCTGGAGGAGCAGAAAACAGCAAAACTGGGTTTTTTTATATATAATAAATATACTCATTAATAAACTCAAACTTTCCCATAACTGTAATTTCTGAGGATTGAGAGGCTTCTAAGTCAGAGGAGTGCTGAGGTGAACCCACAGGCAGAATCTCCATGTGGATGTTATCAGGGCAATCTCCCTGGAGCGGAAGGAACTGGACTATCCTGATACCCACCAAAGTTTCAAGACCATGATTTTGTGCACAGGCCATGTGAAAAAGCAGATTGCACCATCATTATGTAGATAAGGAAACTGAGGATCCGAGAAGGGCAATGTTCTACCCAAGGTCACATGGAGGCCAAAGAGGAGTCAAGCGACTTAAGCCCCTGTGACTCTGGAGTTCTTGTCCCCTGCCTGGGCTCCCTGGGTACCCAGGTGCCCGTGGTGCAGGCCTGTTTGTCCAGGTGGTCATTCCAATCTTGCCTCCTCTGGAGCCGGTCCTGCAAGTGGCTAACTCTCCTGGCTTCCTGGACAGGGAAGAAAGAGGCGGCAATAGCATGCCGAAGGCGCCAAGCGTAGGCCTGCAGCACTAAGGTGGCACCTGCTAGCAGCTGCAGGGCGCCCGCGGTCAGTGCGGCCCTGACTTGGGGTGGTTGAGCCTGAGGTAGGGGGCAGTCATGGGGCATGGAGTATAGCTCCCACTGGAAGGAGCGTTGTGCTGAGGCAAACTTGCTCTCCACTGGAGGCTGGTTGAGGACGAAGAGGATGAAGTCTAGGAGTTTATACGAGGCCTTCAAAACAGAAAAAAAGGATTGAGTCAGAGGCACCATCGGGCCAGTCCCTATCCCTACCATCTACAGAACGGGTCAAGGGCGGGACAACTGTACCTCAGTAGCCAGCAAAGCGGCACCACACAAATGTTACCCTAAGTACTTTGGAGAAAACTTTTAAAGCTGGGGATGTATCAATGACTCAGATGGTAGAGTGACTGCCTAGCATGCAGGAAGACCTGAGTTCCACTCACTCACTGGGCACACCAGGGTGGTAACCCACACCTTTGATCTCAGCAACTGAGGAGGCAGAGGTGGGTGGAGCTCTCTGTGATTTTGAGGCCAGCCTGGTCTGCTTTATCGAGTTTCACGTCACTCAAGACTACATAGTGAAGCCCTGTCTTTAGAGAAAAAAATAAAAAGTCCCACCAATCGATGCTTTGGTGTTGTGACGGTCTCATCAGCTTCCTAGAATGGTCAGCACTGTACACTCTGGGTGTATATGTGAGGATTATTGATCATGGGGGGATCAGATCATGGGGGCTCTGTTCTAACCAATGATTCAATTCATTGATGGGTCTACAGCACAAAGGCCTTATGGGAAGGAGGTGAAAAAGTAGGAGGTGGGGCCACGCTGGAGAAAGCAGTCCCTGCGGAGCGTCTGCGGCCGCACCTTGCCCTAGCCCCTTCCTGTGTTCCATTTCTGTTTTCTTGTTCTCCATGCCTCCACACCATCTGTCTATGACTCCCAGGCGTATCCAGAGATGATGACTCAAGCCCGCAAACATAGGCCAAAACCCAGGACTGAACAGACTCCGCCCACCTGAATAATTCCGAGAGCGTTCACCTCCGCGCACTTACGTCATACTTGACCGTGAGAGTGACGGGGACAGTGGGCAACTTCTGAGCCCAGGCGACAGCTGCCTGCGCCAAGAGGAAGGCCCCATAGTCTGTGGCTGCTGTCACAGCTGTAGCGACTAGGAGCAGTGCCAGTAGCCCCAGCCTGAAAAGACAGCTCAGCAATTCCTCATGCGACAGCTTTGGCTGGGCTGTTTGGAGCAGCCAGGGAGGTGGAGAGGCCAGCAGATGTGTGGCACCAGCCTGGGTCAGCTGCTGAACCAGCTGCCGGGTGGCATAGATATTGTCGAAGCGCAGGTCAGTGAGGTAGTGGTGAAGGTACCAGGCGGAGTCGCCCAGGAGGCCCAGCATAAACAGCCCGGTGACCACCCGCTGAGTCCTCAGTGCTGCCTGGGTCAGGAACTCCAGGCCAGAGAAGTCCTCCAGGATCTGCTGAGCGGCCATATGCATGTGAAGGCGGAAGGCTGAGCTGTTGCCCTGTACCCCAAACGCCAGGCTCCGACTGCCTGCTTGGCTGGCTGGGCCCAGCGCCTGGGATGCCAGGCCCAGCTGGTAAGTGGTATTAAGCAGACTCTCCAATGAGCCCTCAGTAACACAGCACAACACTTGTCCGGCTGCACCCACATTGGCTAAGACATTGGGCACCACGGCAACAGCCAAGTTGGCTACACTGTAGGACAGGAGTAACCGGCGGCCCTGCTCAGAGCCCAGGGTAGGCACACTGAGCGCAAATAGGCAGCGGATGGGGGGCACCAGGCCCAGGCTCAAAAAGACCAGGAGGCCACAGACAGTGGTGACCAGGGCAGGGGGTCCCTGAGGATAAAGCTGTGAAGAGATCAGCCAGTGATGAAGCAGGCCTGCGATGACACAGGCCAGGGAGGCACACAGGAGCAGCTGTGTCAGAAGTTCACTGCAGCTGGTGGGGACGGGCTGGGAGAAGGCATTCCAGGCAGTTTGCAGTGGGGCAAGCGCCTTGTGGATCCCCAAACGCCAGCATTTCCATCTGCACGCAAGGAAATAGAGGATCTCTGTGTCAGGATTGGGGTGGGTGTCCTCTGTCCCACCAGCCAGGTTGCTAGTAGAACCTACTCTTATAGCCATGGGGACAGGCACACCTTCAGATAGATCAATCAGAGATATTCCACCCATGGGGGCGGGGGTAACACAAGCTGAACCAGTCAGAGCTTTCCCCAGGAAGTCTTTACAGGGCTGTCAGTCAATAGCCTAATGTATTCAGTACTTGAGGATGTGGGCCTGGGTGTCTGGACTGAGGCCATGGTTGCCGGCTCTGAGAGCAGCAGGTAAGGTAAGTTTTGGAGGGGGAATAAACATGGCCGAAAGACAGAATGTAGCAAGAAGAGAGAATGATTCCCTTCCCCACAGTCTGTGTGACTCACTGTTGGTCCCATCCATGTTCTGTACAGATCTCAGTGTCACCCCTATCATTTACAGGCAAGGAAAGGTACCAGTTGGTCTCTTGGAGACCTTTTCTCTTCAACCAGCCCTGTATTAGTCACTGAAATCACATTTATTTATTTTTTTATTTATTGTGTATTACACATGTGTGTCTGCATGTCAACATCATTCTCCACCTCGATTTCTTCATTACATTTTAATTTTGTGTGCGCATGCTTGCATGCCTCTGTGCATGTGTGTGCATACATGGGGGGTGTGCACATGTGGGTATGTGGGGGTTTGTGGGTGCTTGCATGCCTCTGTGTGTATGTCTTTGCTTGTGAGTGTGTGTGTGCATGTGTGTGCATGTGTATAGAGTCAGAGAACAACTTGTAAGAGTCACAGGACGACTTATTCCCAGGATCTGTTTCTTGCCTTGTATCATCACATGGGTTTTAAGGATTAAACTTGGGTCTCTGGCTTGGTGTCAGCACTTTTACTGACTGAGATGTCTCACGGGCCCACCATCACATTTTTCTGAAGTGAGGTCTCTCATTGGCCCGGTGCTCACCAATTTACCTAAATGGCTGGCCTGCAAACCCTAGGAAGCTGTCTCCACCTCCCCAGAGCTGGGATCACAGTCAGAACTGGGTTCGCGGGTGCATTCTCTCACGCCTTGCTTTTCTGCATGCGTCATTGGCATCAGGTCCCCGAGCTTGTGCAGCAGGCACAAGACAAGAGACAGCCGAGAGAGCTGTCTCTCCAGCCCTCAGCGAATTACTGTGAGCTCAGCATGAGGACAGGGCAGTAAGGGAAGCAGACTGCCTCTGATCTCCTAGGCGCTCACACTAGTGACAGCAGAAAGGAAGTTACAACACATCTGGATTTTGAGGTCAGTGTAGCTATCTTTTGTTTATGTTTTAACAAGTAAAACTTGCCTGAAGATCAGAGCACAGAGCTAAGCCACCAGAGGCCAGGCAGTGGTGGCACACACTTTTAATCTCAGGAGCTCAAGGCAGTCTGAGGAACAGTGCAGTCTGAAAGGCAGTCAGTCTGAGGACGGGATCGCCCCTTTGGTCTGAGCATTGGTAGAGGTGAAGAACTCTCTAGATGCTGGCCACTCTGCTTCTCTAATCTTCAGCATTAACTCCTATATCTGACTCTGGGTTTTTATTACTAAGACCAATTAGAATTCCTGTTACAGGTCAAACATGAAACATGGATGTCTGGTTTATCACTGCTGTCTTTGCTGCAGGTGGCTGGGTGGAGGTGGACATCCACTGCCTCTAGGGCTTTATGTCAGAGTGCGCCCCCTATAGGCGCTTGTCACTGCTGCACACCCAGGAGTCTTCAACTCCTGTACCCCCTTCCTGGCCCCTGAGGACATACATACTACATACTACATACTACATACTACATGCAGCATGATTTGTTTGGGAACAGGGAACTGAAATAATGCCAAGGAGCATGTTTTTAAGAACCGGAAGCCATGTCAGGTGCTCAGTCAGCCGGGTATTATCAGCGGCAGGGAGTATCATAGCTTTCTCTCTGAACGGCATCCTCTGCACCCCCTCCTGTTCTGTTCCCACACAGCCTTACAGCCATGGCTGTTATTTCTATCCGACCAGAAGGAAACCGAGACCAGAAAGGGGAGGGTTCATTAGTGGTCTCAGCCGGTGAGGGGGAAGACTTGAGACTGGAGTTCATGCCCGTTTTAAGGGCTGCTGACTTTTCTTGCCTGTTCCCCTTGTGTCCCAATACCCAAACCTACCCCAACCTGATGAGGTGTTCCGCGGCTCCTCTGTTGTCCCTCATGGTCCTTGAGAGCTGAGTTCAGGCAGCTGCCACGACAGCCATGGCAGGTGGAGAGGAAGTGTGGGGATCGGAGCGTCCAGTCGCTTCTGCTTTCGTCCCTTTAATTAGACCCTCCTGGCTGCCTCATCCTGCCCAGCCAGGGGCCCAACTCTTGGGGGCTGGGCTAGCTGCTTCATCCTCCCCTGAAAGGCAGTCAGGAGCAGTCAGGGGTGGGAGGAGGAGGGTGAGAGGAGACATATTTTCCAAGCATTGGCTGCGATCCTGAGGGCAGGAAGGTAGAATTAGCCCATTTCACGGAGGAAGAGATTGAGGTTCAGAGAAACCATACAGCTCAATCACAGTAACACCAGACAAGAGCTCCACTCTGCTTCCCCGTCCTTTCTCCCATAGTTAAGCCTTCCAGGAAAACCCAATCCTTGATTCTGGGGATGCAAACCCACAGGAGACCCACAGGGACCTGCTAAGGCCACACTGTGCTGTTCTTAGCACCACGTACAGACACGGAAAGAGAATAATAAATGCAGCCTATATTGAAAACTGTAGGTGCTCAATAGTTGCGAGTCCCTGTGGTGATTGCCCTGAAGAGGTAACTACAGCCCATACCTGATGGGAAAGCTCAGCCAATCACATCTAGCTTGGAGCCAGGCAGGTAAACAGGGGTAGATAGGTGCGTGCGCCCTCTGCGCGGTGCTTGCCTGACCCCTTTGGATATCGGAACCTTTACTCCGGTCACGTGAGTTTCCCCGTTTTTTCAATTATTAAATTATATCTGTTGTTTTGAGCTGGTCTGATTATTTTAGTGTACCTATCAAATATGCCTTCGCTTACACATCCCCACCTGGCATGTAGAAACTTCTCCCTAGCACCAGTCCCCCATCACTGTCTACACCAGGACTGCACCCAAGAGGCCTCCTCCGTCATGGGATTGTCCCCGCGCCCCCCCCCCCACACACACAAAGAACAGAGTTGACAGCCAGCCGTCTTCCCTTATAAGGATATCCTGCTGAGTCATGGGCTCAGGCCTGATAGGGAAAAGGACTTCCATAGAACAGAATTGAGGGAGACACCAGCGACCAGACCTTCAGAGGGCCGTGAACCCCTCCAGGGAGCCAGAAGCCTTCACTCACCCGCTCCCACCCATGCCCAAAAGTCTTGGCACACAGTAGAGCCCAGCAACTGTCAATCCTCAGGTCTTATGGGGCTGCTACTCTCCTAGAGTTCACATGAAGTTGCCTGGGTACCAGGTATCCCCATGGGACACTCACACTTCGGTGCCAAAATGACCAAGGTTTTAAAGCCAGGAAAGAAGGAAATAGTAAACGGGGAAGGGAAGAGAGGGAGCAGACAGACAGACGGACAGACAAATAGACACACACACACACACACACACACACACACACACACACACGGGGAGCGGGGGCAGAGGGATATTAACACTTTTATTTTGCTGGCCAGTCTTTATAGGAGGCTTGGGTCCTCTGCTGTCTAGGACTTCAAGGAGCTACTCAGCGGGCCTCTTTGTAGAGGCCACAGATCTCATGCAAAGGCAAGCTTTCACACTGCTGTGCGGTGTGACCTTGAGCTAGAGCTGTTCCTACCTGAAGTCCTGGCAACATTTGCTATGTGAGAACAAAGCATCTACTCCATGGGTTTGGAAATACAAAGTATTCAGCAGGGAGTACATAAATGTTCACACCATAAACCCTTCCCGCTGGGTTCCAGCCTTGCCTGGGTGAAATCCAGGCTGCTCAGACTTGATTGCTCAGGCCAGATGTCCTCCATACTCCCCAACCCCATCTCCACACCCCAGCTTGGGTCTCATCAGGGTGGGACTGCATCCCATAAACCATGGCCAGACTCTGCCCAGCTCTGTAGTTGGTTGGTTAGGAAACAGAGACCGTTTGGGGAAGTCTCTGGTGACTGAAGGGGAGCTGGAGCACAGAGCCTGGGGAGCAATAGGCAGGAGATATTTGGGGGTTCTTTTGGCATATGTACATAGTCACCCCTACTCAGGCAAGGCTGGCCTGGCCTCAAGGCCCACAGCATCCGGAGGGGCTTGAGTCACCAGATGTCAACAGGACTGAGCTGGGTGTGGGAGTTTAATCTTAAAGGAATCAGAGGCACAAGATGAAGAGGAAGTAGAGAGTCTTCAGCGGTTCCTGGGGCCACTCAACTCCCAGCCCCACAGCGCGCTGTGTCCTGGTGCATTTTAGCGCAGTGGGGAGAGGATGGCTGCAGCACACATGGCTGAGAATGTTCGGGTGGCTGTAACCTTCCCAGCAGGCTGTGGAGATGGCTCAAGCGTTAAAGTTTTCACTGTGTAAGCATGGGAACCTGACTACTAGCCCCAGAATCCATGGAGAAAGGGCAACCAGCAATGGTGGCGTACACTCTTAGTCCAACCTGGGCAGGTGGAAACAGTGGGGTCCCTGGAATTGGCTGGCTGGCTAGCCTGACTGAACTGTGTCCTGAAGTTCAGTGTGGTCAGGGGACAGCTGCTGAGAGTTGTCTCCGGCCTCTACAGGCACTCCCATTAATGCACCCATACGCACACAGACGTGGGCACACACATACACACACACACACACACACACACACACACACACACACACCACATCTTATCAGAGGCAACCTAACAGAATCAGAATGGGAGCCACCAGCAAGAGCCATAGAAGTTTCTGGTAACAACATAAAAACTGAAAACCAGCAGGGTAGTGGTGGTGCACACCTTTAATCCCAGCACTCAGAAGACAGAGGCAGGCGGATCTCTGTGAGGCCAGCCTGGTCTACAAGAGCTAGTTCCAGGACAGGCTCTAAAGCTACAGAGAAACCCTGTCTCAAAGAAAAAACAAAAAACTGAAAACCATTTATTAATGTGTGTGTGTGTGTGTGTGTGTGTGTATGTGTGTGTGTGTGAGTCCAAGAACAATCTGAAGAGTTAGTTTTATCCTTCCACTGTGTGGGTCCCAGGGATTGAACTCGGGTCAAAAAGCTTGGCAGCAAGCCTCTTTACCTGCTAGGCCATCTTGCCTGCCCTGAAATTCCTTATAATGAAGTATTTGTCCCACTGAATGTATCCCAGATATGACCTGCTTAGCATGTAAAAAATACACCAGAGCATGACAGGATAATTTGTATTTATTTTTGTATCACTGAAAGTACCCGAGGGGAGTCCCTCAAGCTGTGACCTAAATGTTTGGTGGGCAAATGAATGGCAGCCACCCCCATCACTTCAGAAGGTGCTGTGGGCAGTGCTGCTCTGGGCAGCCAGAGGCAGTGACCACTGGGCCTGAAACAGACCTTCCAGCTCAGACTGTGGAGTCATGAGGTCATATTCCCTCATAGGCCAGGAAGGTGGCTGAGTGGAAAGCAGAGAGAGACAGTACACAGAAGTGGGACTTGGGGCAAGGGGGTCTTTATGGTATGATCTGTTGTGGAATAGAATATTTGTTTAACTATGCAAAGATGTGTTGATTTGTTTATGGTACATTTGTCTAACTGTATAAAGATATGTTGTATTGTTTATGTTGCATTTATTTAATTATGTAAAGATGTGTTGGATTTGTTTTACCTTGCCTGCCTAAGGCATCTGATTGGTCTAATAAAAAGCTGAATGGCCAATAGGTAGGCAGGAGAGGGGTAAGGGGGCGGGCAGGCAGAGATAATAAGTAGGAGGAGGAATTTAGGCTTGAGGGAGAATGAGGGCGATAGAGAGAAGATGCCAGGGGCGGGCAAGCTGGTTAGCCAGACAGCCAGTCAAGGAGCCACCAGACAGCCAAGACACCGAGGACTCAGGAAAGCAGGACAAACAGAATGAAAGAAAGGTAAAAAGTCCCAAGGTAAAACACAGATGAAGAAAAACAGGTTAAAGTAAGTTATAAGAGCCAGCGTGATAAGCCTAGCTAAGGCTGAGCATTCATAATTAATAATAAGTCTCTGTGTCATGGCTCGGGGACTGGCAATCCAACAAAGCCTCCTACAACGATCCCCACACCAGCTGCTCAGCTGCTGCCCCCGCTACTTCATTTGCTTATATCTGGAGTCAGGCTCTCACTATGTAGCCCAGGCTATCCTGACATGCCTAACTCCTGACCGTCCTGCCTCAGTCTCCCAAGCCCTAGGAAGACAGGGTGCACCACCACACCCAGCTTGGCATTTTGTTTCTCAAGAAAGATAGAAACCCACTTTCAGAGGGGTCATTCCTGACACTGAAGCTTGGTGACAAAGGAGAGAGAAGAAAGCCTTGGCAGGCACTGCTGTGGGACTGGGGGAGCATTCTGACGTGGTAAGCCATGTGTTGGGGGACTGGGGAGCACTCTGACGGGGTGAGCCATGTGCCATGGGACTGGGGAGCATTCTGACAGGGTGAGCCATGTGATGTGGGACTGGGGAGACTCTGATGGGGTGAGCTACGTCCCGTGTGGCTGGGGAACATTCTGACAGGGTGAGCCATGCACCATGACTGCGGGGTCTGTTCCTTCCACCCCTCTCCTCCTCCCTTCCCTGTGCCCAGGAGTGACCTGGAAAGGCCACAGGAAGGCTCTGTGTGTTTTGGTGGAGCACATGGCATTGTGTGTGCCTACTTGACCAAGTCATAGTACCAATGGTGGTTCAACATTATTCTGGCTGTTAATGTGAGGGTGTTTTTGATTAGATTAATATTAGGTCAATGGCTTGGGGTAAAGAAGATGGCCCTCAGGATAGGGGTGGGCCTGGTCCAATCAGTGAAGGGAGAGCCTTAGAAGAATGGATGGGGATGGGGGGGGGGGATCCTTCAGCAGATACTGGTCTTCTAATACCAATTGACGTTTGTTCTCCACTCTCAGCTTGCTAGTCCCCGTGTGCTTTATCCCACCAGGTGGGGGCTTCACCAAGTCTCCACAGCTGTGAGACTCCCTAAGACACATCTTCTTCTCTTTTCCCTTCAGTGAGATGCAGCAGCCTTCGCCAGCTGAGATTTCATTCTCTACAATTCCTGTCAGCCATAAACCATAGGCCAAAAACATGAAATAAATTAGAACTAAGATCTTCAACTCCTGTTCTGAATGCAGTTGCTTACCAAGGTCCAGGCTGGGACCTGGGCAGTCATCTGAGGAGTGACCCCAGAGGGTTAGTGACTACTGGGGTCATTCCCGCCCTAACCAAGTTCTGTTA